CACGCATGCATATTATTTGGTAAATAAATGACGAAATATTTTTTACCAAAAAAAAAATTTATTATTTACTTTCCTTAATCATACCTTTAAGGGGAAAAAACATTCATTCAATTTTATGCAATAGTTCCTGAGAAAAAAATTATTAAAAATATGCTTTTTCTTGTGCGTTCACAGTGAAATGCTCCCTTAAGAAAAGAAACGAAGTTGTCTTTCAGTAGTTTCACAATACCTCTATTATCTAATGAACCGCCCCCCCTTCCCCTCGCTCGAAATCGTGTCACTCTTGTAGACAACAATTTCTCATGCAACGTATAACTTGCAAATTATCTGAAGTGAGCATGCCAGGTGTCCACATATCATTTATACTATTGCACGATGCACTATTAAGATAACACTTGTCATAGAATATATGTACGATACGTACATATTAAATATACACTATAATATCGATATAAATGCTACCATTTTCTGAGTTCATATTAATAAATTGCGATTATTCCACACGATTATCGACGAGCCGAGTTCTATAATCATAGTTATATATTAATTGTACACAATTTCATAGATGTGAAGAAGATATGATATATGTATGTATCCATGTCGATTTTTGGTTGATGGTACAAGTCTGAATATATCGGGATGATTGAAAACAAATAACATGAATACATCCCTTAAAAGGTGAAAGGTTATGGAACGAAATGGTACCTACGTGAGTCAATAAATATATATATATATTATATCAAAATTCAAATGTGCCTTTGAATTTTTCTTAAAAATTACCATGAACTTCCTGGACAACTCAATAGATATATATCCTGTGTAGATCACTATTTTCCAAAGTAGAGAATACACGATTCTACTAGTGACTCTGCCAGCAGAGATGGGTGAAACCCTAGGCTTCAAATAAATCTAAAGTTTGCCGATATGTTTATCTCGTTTCCTTCTTTGGAAAATGTTCAAAAGGGGAAACGAGACAAACATATCAGCAAACTTCAGATTTATTCGAAGCCTAGGGTTTTGCCCATCTCTGTCTGCCAGTAGTCTGATAAAAGCCAAATGGGCCTAACAAGGAGCTCGGGTACCTCGGGTTCGCCAAACCCGTACTGCAGCTGTCATCAACCACAGCTACAGCCCCTGAAGGTGAACTACTAAACTATTGAATGATTCAAGGACTAAACAATTCAAGGATTCAGGTGTTGAACTATTAAACGATTGAAAATTTGAATGATTGAACGATTGACTGATTGAACGATTGATTGACTGATTGAAGTGTTCAACGATTGAACTGTTCAACGATTGAACTGTTCAACGATTGAACTGTTCAACGATTGAATTGTTCAACGATTGAATTGTTGAACGATTGAATTGTTGAACGATTGAATACCACATGAAAATTTCTACAAAGTGAAAACTTTGTCTCGAAACTGGTTGAAGATTAGTTTTTAATTCTTTAACCCAGCCAAATCCACGAATCCTATCCAAATTTATTTTCATTATTGTGTCAACTTTGAAACTGATTCTTCGATTCCTCAATGAAAACTCCCGTCACCCATTTCTGAACAACGTGGCAACCAACGTATTAATAAATCTCCATACAATTAATTAACACAATATTGTTATGTTTAGGCAATAGGTTATGTTACTTTATGTAACAGAGTTTGTACAATAGAAATGTATTAGGTTGTCTGAAAAGTTTCTTTCGCTTTATTAATAAGTAATACATGTACAATATTTTATGTTTCATGTTACATTATTGAATTGTGCACGATTCATTTTGCTCCATTACTGTTACAACATGAATATCTACGAAATTAGATAGTCTATTTATATAAACACGACCACATAAAATAATTGAGTGCAACTCGCGAAAGAAACTTTCGAGACAACCTGATAATTAAATTTATATGCTAGTTTCGGAACGTCTGCACTCAAAGGCCGATCGCACACGGCGCAACTGATCAGTTTCAAACCAGTCTAAAACCTAGTTGCATGTGACCGTGGATCTAGGTAAAACAATGATAGTGGAGTAGGTAAAATAAAGAGCGCAAACGGTTTGCAACACTAATTTCAAATCGGTTGCACCGTGTACGATCGGCCAAAGCCATCTTGCTCGAATCTGACAGCTTGACAGGCGATCGATCCGATCGCCTTCTTCTCGCTGTCCAATTGTTCCGATCGCGAGCACCAGCAGGCCTTGGATCCATCCAAAAGATCCTCTCAACAATATCTTTGAAACTACGTTCGACGCTTTAGTTTTATCAGCTGCAATCCCGGAGGCAGTCAAAGGCTCCTGGTCGAAAGAGTATAAAAAAAATCCCTATGAAAAGCGAACCGACCTCGACAAGGTCGGTGCATTAGGCACCCTTAATCGAGCCGCGGTAGCCAGGGTAATGACGTGTGCTCGAGCACACGGCTCACGGTGTTTAGCACTTTATCTATCTCCTCCAAGTTATTAATGACACTCGCTGAGTCAGATGCCGCGGCGAAGTGCGGCATCTTCAGAGTTTAATATCCGAAGAATCGAGTCACTCGGCCGACTACTCGCGGACTCCTACCCCTGGCCCTCGAGCGTACACTCGTGGTCGAGGCATTTCGCTTCCAATATCCTTCACCCTGGACGAATCGAGTGTCCCTGGGCGGCGAACGAGTCGTAACGCCTTTCATTTCGCGCGAACCCGGCCCCCGTACGAGTGGTTTGAATATAGAAAAAGGTGGGAAGGATGAAATCTCGCGTCACCGGGCGAGGAACCGACCGATAAAGCACAAGGGAACGGGATCTAAACAGCTACAGCCTGGTCGTCCAAGATTCATCGACCTAGAATCGAACAGTGTTTCTCAAACTTGTAACCGCTGAGGGGAGGGGATTGACTGTGTTAATCCTTTGCACGAGTATTTTACGTAATGATAGCCGCACTGGTTCAAATTATTTTTCTTTCATTTCCCTAGAAACGTATGAATTTTATTCGAACGGATTTTTTTAAGCCGTGTGCTTGGTGTGTAGATTTATCTACAGGTTCCTTTTAATTTTAGTTTTTGGTGTACTCATAATGTATAACAAAAAATATTTTCAGTTCAGTTGTGCACTTCACAGTATATATGTATCATAGTATACAGGGTGTCCCAGAATTAGTCTAAGAACCGGAAATGGATGAGAGGGTAGCTTAGACGATTCTGAACCATAATTTCCTTTGCAAAAATGTCGGATGGTGTTTTGTTTTTGAATTATTTTAATTTGAAATTCTGACCAATCACAGCGTCCAAATAGCACGCGCTGTGATTGGTCGGTGTTTTTTCGTAAATAATTCAAAAACGAAACTGGGACACCCTTTATAGTGAAATCACATATACTTATTAAAGAAATATGCATTTCACTATATGTATATATTTAATACGTATGATTACATATTTACTCGTTCAATAGTGCATTTTCATATATGCATATGTATGATAAAAATTATTTCAAAGGGTATAACTGTTTCATACGAAAATTCTGGGGTAAGTGCCGTGTAGTTCAACACGGTCCTCTTTCCAGAAGGCCATGCCTTCCCCACTCCGTGGCCAGATCTTTCTAGAACAATATATCATTTGTTTAACTCAATATGGCTAATTATTAATTATGGCAATGCAACGTCGGGTTGCTTGCCCAGTTTACGCGTTACCGATGATAACTCATCGGTCATGCGACATTCGTTTTGGAACCGCCTTTGGATCATCGCAAGCTCGCGCTCGGTCCACCCTGACGTTTTGGCTCTCCTCGCGAACCCATCGCTAGCAAACAGTGGCAGATCAGCTGTTCCGAAAATCAATATATTGATCGGACCTACTGTGCTCAAACTCGATATAATAATAACAAAAATGATGAAAAGTGAATAAAACTAGAATAAAACTAGAAAAAAAAAAGATAAAAAAAAAATGCTCCCCACGGCACATTATCCTTATCAAGAGCACCCGCTGAAAAGTTCACTGAACATTGATAAGCAAAACAGTGAAACAGAAGAGGCATCCTTGGCTTCGAGAAATTCAAAAATTAAGATTTGAATTTTTTCGAACATTATTTCACCATTTTACATTTTATCATTTAATTTACTCGAAACGAATTTCACGCATACATTATTTACACATTTGTTTTATATTCAACGGGAAGCTCCATCGGGACGTATCTAGAAACATGACATCGAATTTTATCGATGGAAAGCATTTTGTTCCCAGCACGCGACAAACAACCTGAATTAATGATAAAGCAACGCGTTCGTAGTAGAGACACGAGCGATTAGAATTTTAAGAAACGGAATCGTCTTATAAATTTTCCATCTCGCGTGTAGAAAATCAGATTTATTCGAGTTATAGTGCCTCGGCGTTACGTATGCATAGTTGAACGGTTGGTCATTAATCGTCAGTCGCGGCGTATGGTTATCCCTAATTATTATCGAGTAGGCGTGTACGTTCTAGGATCGAAGCTATCACGGAATCATCGGCGGAAGGTCGATTGAATTTTTCATGAAACGTGGCATGCATCGTGCGACGTATCCTTAAATAACGCATCGCGACTCGTGGCACACGTTTCGTGCGACAGTCGCACTTTTGTCGTTTTGTTGTAAAGACCACTTTTTATCGTGGACCAACAACAGTTTCATGAAAGTATTCCACGCGTCGTTGTCGCAATAATCACGACGTTTCTCGTAAGAATTAATTTTGAGATAAATATGTACCAGTAATAAAAATATATCGAACAGTTCTAACTGAATCGTATGGAAAGTGTTTATTTTTATATGATTCTGTTGTATGTCGAATCGACTGCTTAACATACATACAAAATATACGAAAAATATACATAATGTACGCGGAATGTATCATATTTAGAATATTTTGATTAATATAGTAATATTAATATTTCGTTATATTCTGCATACATTCAATGTTAAAATAATAATATTTATCAATAGTACCTTTATCAAAAGTTTATTATAGAACATACACATATATGAACTTATTTTAATACAGCATCTATGTAGAATGTATTATGGATAGAATATTTTCATTAATATAATAATAATAATATTTCGTTATTATAGACACATAATTAATTCTACGCCCAATATTATTGTATTACTGGTTGTATGTTTTGCAGTTTTTATTAGAATGATTTCGTCCCATTTAGTTATATTCCATCGCTATGTCTGATGACCAGTTATCCATTGTGTTATTCAAAATTTCGAATTTCAATTCCTTGCATACGAACTCTATTTTTCGTGCTGCGTTCTTTTAGAAGGCTATACGGAAAGCAATCTTGCAAACTTTTTCTACGAAGTATCGAGAATTCAATTGTTGCAATCATGGATAGGGATAGGCCAAACAGAAAGCAAGCAAAGTTTCGAAGAACCCTGCTGAATATATTGAAAACATGTTACAACGTTTTGAAGAAACAGTCTTTGGAATTTTGCAACCAGACTGGACTTCACGGGTACAAATATATTGCCGAGCCTCACCGTTCCACGGCAGCAAGGTATATTATATTCAATTCTGTGTATTTCTCACGTGTGCAGAGCAGCATGAATTAATAGAAATTACATTCAATTGAATTCCAATCGATTGAAAGAGATAATGAAACAACGAATTAACTTAAGGGACCAGAGCACTCTAACATTTTCAGAAAATCGAGTTCTGTTTGCATTTCTCGAAAGAGCAACGCCGTTCTAATGACATTTCTAATGACATGAACCGGATTTTTATTTGTTTATACGCCTGATAAAATGTAGCGAGAGTTTGAAAACATTTCATCGCATAGTTTCTTTATAAACATTTTTTTAAAAATTTAAAAAAAAAATTTTTTTTCTCTCAAAAGTGCTGTTACAATAGTCTGCCTCTTCAACTTTAATTAATTGAATGTTTTTTTGGCAATTGCTGCATTCTTTGATTATTATATTTAAGATGACAAAAACGTTATATATTTTAATAATAAGATGACATTTGTTTAGAAAACTTCACCGACCTATCATATACGTGGCATCTTATTGTAGTATATAGCTTTAAATTGGAGTTTTATTAAATTTTATGCAACTTGCCACTCAAATCTAAAGTGGCAACCAGTCAGACAAATCTGTAGGTACGGTTGCCATACATCAGGCGCATCGTTCCGCGCCTTATGTGCAGCAACCAGTGTTACAGTGTTTTAGACTCATTTAACATTCATTTCCGCAGAATCGCGTGGGCAATAGCGGTGTTTACATCTCTGTGCATCGCGCTTGGGATAATTAAAATCACTTTCGATTTCTATGAAAATCACCAAGTTTCCGCGGTTATCGAGACGACTCATCACGGGATATGGAATTATCCGTTTCCGGCGGTAACCGTGTGCAATATTAATCGCATATCCCTCAGAATGTCACGGGAACTAGCTGAAAAATTGTAAGCTTTTTATACGAAAGGTTTAAAATTTTGATTTTTAATAAGAAACACAATATGGATATGGAATATATCCGATTTTGTTTACGATTAAATGTGAAATATTATGTCATCTAAGTCTCCACCGCGTATAATGCTGATATTTAAGGCGTAGTTTGTTATTAAAAAACAAAATCCTAAATCGCCTTTCTGGAAAGTCCTTTAATCGAATGAAATTTAAGTTATATGCACTTGTACATTTTTCTAGGTGAAAGAACACTATTAATTTTTGGAAGAAACACCACAAAATTCTTTTGAAAAATGCAACGGTTGAAAGCATTTAATTTATTAGTAATAAATTACCACTTTCCCTTGTATCTTTTATTATTTTCCTTTCCACCTATTATTTCATCGATAACACGAAATCCTTATCGTTGCCGTAGAATCATCCCACCGACTATGTCGAAAGAATTTATTGTCCAAGAGCTACGCTTACTAAACGAGTTATTATATCCTGGAAAGAGCGCGGTGAACATTCGAACCAATCTCTCGCGATTGCAAAATATCTTTGACAGAAACGACTTGTCGATTCCAATGGTGGTCAGAGCTGTACGTATAAAATTAAAACAATTTAAAAAAAAAGAAAAAAGAGACTAATTCATTAACCCACTTGGAGTCTACTAGACGTGTATCATTCTAATTAGACTGCGGATCTTTATTATCAAAAATTAATCCTAAATAGGAATTTATTTTACTCTCCAAATACATATTACAATACAAACTTTATTTTCAATGATTTTTTTTTTAATTCTTGCATATTGTGTGCATTCTATAGTTTCTTAAACATTTTTTTCTATAAATGGATAAAGATCCGAAGTCTAATTATACCATTGCAATGCTTTTTTAGGTAACGCAGCCCTGCAAAGAGTTTCTAAGCTGGTGCAAGCTGACATTTAAGGAACGCAACTGCAGCCAGATATTTAAAACGAGTTTCACCCGTGAGGGGATATGCTGCAGTTATAATTACGTCACGACCCCCGAAGAAGAATCGGTTTATCGGTAGAATTTGCATCTTTATTAATTTACGTCTATATCTCGTTCATATATTTCTCGAACTTAAACTTAATGTCCCTCCTCCTCTATTCTATAACTAATTTTCTTTTTCTTCACTTGTAACACCTAATTAGGGGTGTGCGGGATATTCCCGTAAAATGTTCGGGATTCTCGAAAATGTTCGGGATTCTCGAAAATGTTCGGGATTCTCGAAAATGTTCGGGATTCTCGAAAATGTTCGGGATTCTCGAAAATGTTCGGGATTCTCGAAAATGTTCGGGATATAGAATAATATCTGGGTTTTTCGAAAGTGTTGTTATTCTTGAAAATTTCAGCAAATCCGAATGTACGGGATTTCGAAATTCCGAGAATCTCGAAATTCTCGGGATTCCATCTCGATCCCGGGATGAATTCCCGTCCCGACCGAGATCCCCGCACACCACTACACCTAATGTACAAGCCTAACATTTCTACGTTCTTCACATTCGTTTAATTCTTGTTTTACATTATTTTTCTTAGATATGCTCCTCATCATAATTCTCTCAGTAGAGATGCTAGTAGTCCAATTAGGGCCCTCTACTAGCCTCCCTAATAGCTCGGGTACCTCGGGATTGCTAAGCCCGTACTGTAGCTACAATCAAGCGTAACTACAGCCCCTGAGGGTAACTAAAATAATGAATTTCCTACATCTTTCTTTGTTTTGTTTCCACGTTTATCTTTAAAGCCGAGAACCGGTTAGATCAGCTTCGTGTGGTTATCAGAGTGGTCTCCAAGTCATGCTAAATGTGGATCCGGACGATTACCATGGAAGTATGATAGGATCCATAGGGATTAAGGTAATTATCTCATCTGCAAATCCACGGTGAAAAAAAATAACAAATATACACTACACTAGACAAGAAAATTATTCGTCAAAATTTTGCCACTTTTCAAATGCACATAACTTGATCAATTTTCATCTATCGGGACAAAATTTTCTTTTTCACTTTCTAAATGCATATAATCTGCAGTTTAATAATAATGTTACAAAATGTTCGTAACAGGTCATGCTGCACGATCCTCACGATTATCCAGATTTCGATGCGTTGACTAAATTAATAAACATCGGAAAATACTCATTTTTGACCGTTCAACCGGAGAAAATGTACTCGACGAGCAACCTTCATTCGGTGCAACCCTCCAAAAGAACTTGCATATTTAGTCACGAATGGCCTACGATCAAAAATGCCATCCGTAGAGAAGACAGTTTCCCCACAGCAAAATATTCATTCCGAAACTGCATGACGGAATGTCGAGCATTCGTAATAAAAAAGAAGTGTGGATGTATTCCGTATTATTATCCACAAAACAGTAAGTGTATTTTAATTAATTAAAATTAATACTTTAACTCTTGTTCTAATTCGAAAGAGTTTGTAACTTACAAGGGAGGTACTGAAATCGGAAATTTGAATTTAAGGAGGCACAACATTATCATTTTGAAACGCTTGATTTTTGGAATTTGCGAAATGAAAATTTGTAAGTTACTTTTGTCCACTGTTTTCGCAATTTCCTAACAAAGGATGTTCTGTCGCAGATACCAGAGTATGCAATCTGAGAGACGTTGAGTGTCTGGAAGCATTCAAATGTAAGTGCAGAAACACTATATGATAAGTAACAAGTACAATAATAAATATTATTTAGAACGATGTACAGTTCAGTTGACATGTAGACTAAAATCTATGGAAATTGTAGATATGAAAATAATTCATCTCCAAAACCATCTCAATACTGTTATAATAGAATTTATATAAATTACTCAATGTTCTACAAAAGATCAAATTTAATTGATAGACTGGTACGAAACATCTTGGCCAGGAATGGACATGTCGCCCAAAAATTTACCATTTGTAAAAGTGGACATCCAGCAGAAACCTTGCGCTTGTAGATCGGACTGTGATTTTTATCGTTTTTCCATGGAAAATTCGATGGGAAACCTTAACAAACACACTTTTTACAACAAAAATATAAATAATACCAGGTAACTGATAATTTGGTCCCATTTATATGGAATACCTATTTAGGAAATAGCGAATATGTCATTTAAAGTATTTAAAAGAATGTAAAATTTTCAGTATCACTTCATTATGTTAAAATTAAAAAAATATTTCTCTTTATTCTTATAGAATTAAAGTTACAGTAAAACATGATATAATAATTAAAATACTCAAGTGATATATTATTAACGAAATTTCATGCTGATATACGAAACGTCAGTGATTTTTTTTTAATTATTTTTTGACATAAAATTACAAAAAGCTTCCCCTGACATAGTACAATATAAATGAACAGAACCCATAGGCGCAAATAACACTATAATGGTTAAACCCCACACACTAATAGTGTAAATAAGGAATCTTCGTTAATAACATATTACTTTTACATTTGTACTTTCATTACTACAACTACAACTTGTCGTTTAGTAACTGTGAAATACTCGAAATATTACGCAAATAAAGTATTATATAGTAAAATATTAACGTCACATATGACTAAGCATTTCTTTCTAGTAAGGTTGACATCTGGAAAAATCGCACTATGATACACGTATTTTTTGGAGATCTGGTATCCATTCAATATCGACGTGACGTGCTTTACAATTGGCGTCATATGTTTGGTAAAATAAATTGTTTTATAAAGTAAGTAAACCGACTTTTAATACAAAAGATTATTACAAAAAAATATAATTGTTTCAGCAACGTTTGGCGGCATCCTGGGATTGTTTGCTGGCTTTAGCCTTATGTCTGTTCTCGAATTTATTTATTTTTTTGTTATTCGCGTTATAATAGATGTGTGTAGAAAACGAAAAAATACAAAAAATACGATCGAAACGGACTACCAATAACAATGAATCGGTACATCGAAACAATTTGTATCCTCTTATTGTATAAGTTATAAAATATATAATTTATAAAAAAAATGATGTTTTTAACTTTACTAATAGTGTGTCGCTAATGCCATCAAAAATAGCTCGAACAATAATAATACTTTATCATCGTTACATGTAAAGATTTGTTATAAAATATTTTATAAAATGAACATATCCCGATAACAGTCATTATTGCAGTAAACTCGTATAACACATTTATAGACGATGTTAAAATTTCTGATATCACTAGTTTACCCGTTGCGTTCGATATTCCGGTAACAAAAGATCTGTTAGAAGTCTATAAGAACGTAACTCAGGCAACTGGGAAATGGAACTTTGTCCATTTAAATTTCCCCTCTTTTGCTTCACAGATTGTATTATTTTTCTGACAGCACACAAAAACGTCATTTTGGATCCTCCATTTTGTAAAACATTACAAAACTCTTGTATAAACCATGATCCTAAAAAATAAAGTCATAGTAAATCCAATTAATATTGTACTAAGAGTATTATACAATATCGTACCTTCTGCTTTGTGGCGTACAGATACAAAACCTTGCAATGTTGACATGAATACACAAAAATTTTGATATGCTAAAATATCTGGAACAATGTCATGATCAGGACCATCTACAGCTAAATTATCATTTATTTGTCCTGCAATAAAATATTATAGTAAACTCATACAAACATTTATAATATAGTAATAATCTGTCTCTGTTACCTTTTGCTTGTCCCTGACAAGCTTGTACAATAACGATTTTATTAACATCTTTCAATTCTGTGCAACAAATTTTATACTCAATTTGTTCAATGGTGATTTTCTCCACATCAGAACTAATGATGCATCCTGCAATATGAAAAAATTACATATCTTAATATTCATAGGTAAAGAAAAGATAAGCACTAATTAATGATTTATTATTTTTACCTTTACATCCATGACTTAAAATGCATAAAAATATGCAATCATAATCAGTACCGAATTCTTTTGGTATGTTTTCCAATTTTTTAAGCATTTCATCTTTTTTTAAATTTTTGAATACTTCAACTTTGAAACCAAAACCACTAAAAGTCTCAAATAACTTTCTACAATCAGCTACAGTTCCAAATCGAGTTTCAAACTAAAATAACAGTTTTATACATGTATACTATTCTCAAAAATTACACAATATGTAATTAAAAGATAAGTACAAGCTGAGCTCAATACCTTTTCACCTATGAAGAACATTTGACTTATAATAATGCATAGTCCCTTTTTTATTTTTTTAATATCATCAACATTCAATGGGATCTGTGTCCCTTCACATTTGGAAAATGTTTGTAACTGAAATGTATTTGGAGAATTTGCATTCTGTGTGTCCAACACATTTTGATGATTTTCATGTTTCTTAAGATCATTATAAATTATTTCTAGATCATCATACCTTTTCAGATATCTAAGTAAGTTTTCAAGATTTACTTTGCCATCTAAAATAAGTTAATATCACATAAAATAAAAATATGATACTTAAATGGAATACGTAAAGTAAATTATTACAAATAAAACAAACCTAAATCAATTGAAATATATTTTTGTTCCAACCAATACAACATATGCAATTCAAGATATTCACTATCTTTAAGAGTTTCCTCATATTTAGGGAAATGAGATCTAAAATATTGCACTAATGATTCTGTTTCATCTTTAGAAAGTTCTTCACATAATAAATACAAACATTTTACAACTCTTTTTAAATACCGTGAGCATGATCTATTTCTTGGGCAATAAAGTATGTCCATCTTTTCAAATGGCACTCCCAGTTTACGTACAATCTGACGATTTTGTATAACACATATTGCTTCCAATAATTTATTTTCCCAATTATTTGGATGCCTATCTATAAATTCTGAGAGTATATATGAATTTTGTGTCTTATGCTTTTGCAATAAATCACATATTTCTTTAAAAGCACATTCATAATTGTCTGCTATTAAAAATAAAATAGATATTTTTTCATCAAGGTCAAGATCATCTTCTACCTTACATAAAATGCTTTTCTTCAAAACATTCTTAAATTCATATTTTGTAGTGCACGGTGTTGCATCGCTATATAAAACCATAATTTACTCTGTTTTTTCGTAAATGTATTTCTAATTGTTCCTGAAATGAGGAAACAATGAAGAGTATACATTGAATGCATCTAATACAAATAATTACTTATACGTTTGTTTCAAAAAAATGTGTTGTACATGTATTTATTTTAAGAAAATGTAAATGCAAAAGTACATAAATACAAAAAATATGCCCACGGTAATAATACAAGAATGTACTAACCTGCATTTAAAAAAGGATTACAACAAATTTTACTTTGTTACATTTTCGTATAGTTCCGTATACCGTAATTTTAAGCATTGCTAAACTATAGCATTCATTTCTTAGAACTACGGAAGTTTCATACGTGACATCTACATGTACACATTTAACAATTGCAATCTATAATCTATTTGTTTATCTGAATTGATGGAATCTGATTGGTTCCATTTCCACTCATACTCTGTACTGTCTAATACGAAAACATTGAATTACAATCTCATTTTTCAAAAGTCATACCTAAATTAATGCTACAAATAAGCGTGAGACATTTAAATTTGAAGAACAAGCTTCTAGGCCAATCTAGGATTCAAGTTTCGAATTATATACAAATGGCGTCAATATTTAGCGATGAAAAAAACCTTTTTGATCTTTACACAGCGCCATCGGTGGGAAAACGTTGAAGTTTGGCGTGAAATAATTCTTACTTGTACTGCTAGATGGCGCCACGTATGCAATTCTAATATTTATTCACACCCCATAACTTTTTTATTATATATCAATAATTTTACGTTACGTACAAAATTGAATTAGAATTAGAACACAGTTCTGTAAACAGAACGTGACGCCATCAACCACAAACCTCCCAAGTTTACAAAAAGATAATTCTGTCGCAACCAGTTTATTTAAAAGCTCATTGCAAAAGTTAAAGGTCGAGAAACGTTTTCTTAATTGAATTTGCAATCAAATTAAGATTATTTATAATGTACTGCAATGTCAGTATCGTCGGTAAATTTAGTGATTACCATATAGTGGTACAACAGGGAACTATCTCCAACAAACTTGAGCGTTTTCCCATCGATGCCGCGGATCAAAGATTTAAAAAATTAGTTAGAATCTAAACATCCATATTTTTACAGTAAACTAATAAAAAATTATTTCATTCTCTTCATCGCTCTCACCATTTGTTGGTTCATAAGAGTTGATCGATAACAATACTAGGCAATACTGGTAGACTGATTTATTTTTGTGATATTTATATTCTATCTAATTTTAACATCTGAGTATTAGTTGTTATTATTGACGGTCAATTACTATTTACTGTGATGGACGATTATCAATTTATTAATCTTTATTTTCTTTGTAAAGAGAACTATACAGCTAATGTCTACACTAGAACTTTTTTCGCAATCGTTTTTTATTATTTTTCATGGTGATTCAGAAATTGCGAAACTTCTTAAATGTTTATTTTCTCTTATTTTAAAACTGAATAATTTGTCGTTATGGCAAATAGAATAACTTCTAAAGCTAATAGAATGAATAATGAAGATTCTACATTCAAGCTATGAAATATTACCAAGGACGATTGCAGTCAATTAGCTGATATTATTTGTTATGTAATTGATAATGTCACCAAGCTCTGTGATATTAGCAATTGCATATTCCAAATATTATCAGGACCCAGGTCTCACCACGTGGAGGTTGCTGCATATGGAGACCCGACATTTGGGTGAAAGGAATGTTTCATGTGACACACGTGTCATGTGACACATTCCAACCACCCTTATTTTGCATACATTCCCCTCCCCCCCATTACTATTTATCTATGCTTCCCTAACATTCATGGCCAATTACCCATGATACAATTTCTTTGACAATAAAGGGAGAAGGGGTAGTTTATCGATATTATGTGTAGTCTGTTTCTCTGTTTTATAGTTAAATCCTAATTATTCCTACCTAAATGAGCGCTCATTTAACACAAATAGCCTATCTAAATAATGCTTAATGTGTTTAATTATACCCTATAAAGTTTTTCTTCTTATTATTATATGTTTTACATGGTTAATATTACAAGCCTATCTAACTATATTGACATCCTGCATTTAATAGAATAGAAGAACACATGTGTCCTTTTGTGGTATCCATCGATGCTACAAGGAATGTTTGAAACAAACTGAAACATATTAAATAGAAACTTACACTATTGAAAGAGTTAATATTACAAGCCTAACTATATTGACATCCTGCATTTATTACAATAGAAGAACACGTGCGTCCTTTTTGTGGTATCCATCGATGCTACACAGAATGTCTGAAACAAACTGAACCATATTAAATAGAAACTTACATTATTAATAAACTTTTACCATTTAGTCTCCAGATTCATATCAAGTTCCGCTTTTTATGATATATGAAGAGACATTCTGAAACAGAAACTTGTTTTGTGGATTAGTAGACATACATGTGTAAAAAAAAAATTTTGTAGCTGAAAAGAAAATTTATTAGTACACACATGTATATGTGAATGACACGTCGTCAATGTATGTGTTTGTTATCGATCAGAAATCAAATCAATGACTTGTTTCAAAACTAGATTATGTTTATGAATTTGAATCGGATATTAATTTCGTCCCAATGCCAAGATAAAAGGAACAGAACTAATACAACAGAAATAGTTGCAAAATTAAGTAATTTATACTTTTCAGTTTATAATATAGTTACTCGAAATATGCCAATGTAATTCGAGCCTATCCTTAGTTATTCAAACTGGAATCAAATCCAAATGATTTGAATACGAATAAATTACGAACGTTCGTTAAAATCGACTATAAGACTTTACTATCAATATAAAGCAAACGAAATTGCGTTTGCGTACTTTTCATCGCAAGTTTATTATTTATCATTAAATGAAGCAATGATCGCGAAGAAACTTTGATCGATGCAAAAAATCTCGAATATTTATGAAAATATACACTACTGTGTTAAATCAAATTTTTTTGAACAGTAAGTCAACCGCGGTTGAAAAATGATTTATATCGCGTAGCAATTCCAGTAATGAATAGTCATTGATATAAAATTTCCAATGATCAACTAAACATAATATATTTTTAAACACATCAAGTGTGTAACAATAATTTAAGATTTTATATAAAAATCACCCGATTTAATTCAAATATTACGAACAAAAAACATCTTTTTTCAGATGTGATTATATTATCCAACAGTATTTCCAGCGACCAGAACTCAATTTTTAACAGAAATACAATATGACAATTCGAGAATGATCCTGAAAGAAAAATAATTAGACACGTGATAAATTGAACAACCTAATCTACGGAATAGAAAATCTCAAACTCCCGAGAGCAGCCACCCGGGGCGCTTCATTATTCGCAACAAACAATTGGCTCTAAATATTATGTCAAAACGAACGCGATAAAGCATACGCAACACTAATAGCAATTGCGATTGATTTTTTTATTCGCAATACTACCCTGAAAGAAAACGCGAAAAATTCTAATCAAAAGGAAAATTGACTCTAAATATGATTCCAATCGGTCACGATTCATGTATACGCAACACT